AGGAATGGTAAGGAAAAACAAAGGAGGAGGCAACAATGATGGATAAGATTTGTGCTCATTACTTTGCCCATGTAATTGTAACCCCTATGTATGGTATTTTCCCATTAAAAATTTTTAGAAGAGTTATTGAGAAAGACAAGAGTGAAAAGACATTAAGAAGAGGGGATAATAGAATTAACTGCAGATTGAAAAGGTGGAACCAAAAATACAGAAGCAAAACTCCAGTTTAAATTGTGATCACCATCACTTGTGACTACCACTGCTAAGAAAATGCACATTAGTTCCTTAGTCTTTGAAATAAAATTTCTATAATATAAATTATGACAAAAGAAGACACAATTACTGTAGATTTAGATCAGACCTTGTGAGTACTAAGCAAACCTATGTGCTTAATCTTAAGAATGATTATTTCTCCTACTGTCTTTCACCCTGAAGTCATGCAGAGAATTTCTCTTTGGCAGATGTTGTAACACTTTAGGGCAAAAATGCATCCCAGGAGGCCCACACTGGAGGCCAAGATAGAGAGGACTTCCATGGCCACCATGATCTTCCCCTTGGTACTGTGGTAGACAGGCAGGAAAGTGAGCCACACACTGCAGAACACCAGCAGCATGCAGAAGATCAGGAATTTGGCTTCATTGAAGGTGTCAGGTAGGTTCCTGGCTGCAAAAGGTACAGTGAAGCTAGCCAGGGCCAGGGAGGCCAGGTATCCCAGGACACAGTAGAAGGCAGTGAGGGAGCCCTTGTTGCACAGGACAATGATGTGGCCATGTTGAGAGTGTGCATCTGTGTCAAAAAAGGGAGGAGAGATTCCCAACCAGACTCCCCAGAGGGTTACCTGGATGAGGGTGCAGATGGGGATGATGAAGTTAGGTTCACCTGATACCAGCAGCCACCTCATCCTTCTCCCTAGAGAAGTGGCCTTGAAGGCCAGAACCACAGTCACTGTTTTGGCCAATACTGTGGAAGCAGCCACAGTGAATACAACCCCAAATGTGATCTGCTGCCTGATGCACGTGACTGTGTTTGGTCGGCCTAGAAAGAGCAAGGAACAGAGGAAACAGATGATGAGGGAGATGAGCAAGATGTGGCTGAGAGCCCTGTTTTTGGCTTTGACAATTGCAGTGTCTTGGTATTTCACAAACATTCCATGAACAGCAGCAGTTAGCAAGGAGAAGCAAAGAGCCATGCTAGCCCAAGGGCTGTTCAAAAGCCAGGAAACTTGCAGTTTTCAAGAAGCACTGAGTCCTGTGTGTGTTGGCATACTGATGAACTGGACACTTCACACATTGCTCCATATCTGGTGAGCCATTTATACTACCATTACTTTTTTAAATGATCATTATTTTCTTCAAAGATTTTAGGAAATTTTTCAGTTAGGTGAAATCCTGAGATATCTGTATTTAGTATCATAAATATGTCTTTGTATTTTTTTCCTTGGCCATAACTGCCTCCCATTTTTATCTTATTCATTTAGACCTTTGTTATTGTCAAGGTGATTGCAGAGTGATTACTATTAAATAAATAATGTAATATATATATATATATATATATATATATTTCTTGTCAAACTTTTTACCTCTTCCGTCATTTTTCTCCTACTTTCCCTCCTCCAAAAACTCCCCCCACAAGTTGTACAGAGATCATTTCCAACATACTGTCTTGTGCATATTGCTGTTGCATTGGTTCCCCCTTGTCCTTTCTGTCACCATTTTGTTGTTTTCCTTCCCTAATTCAGCTAAACATTTCTAGGGTACCAAAATCAAATACTGTGACAAAAGGGGATACCAATAGTGGAAAGCATATACAAAAGATGCATGAAATAACATAGTACATTAAAAAAAAACAACAACAACAAAGAAAAAGTTTCTCTGCCCACATCTTGGAGAACATTTTACTTAGCATCATCTTATATGGTCATATGAACATAGCTATTGAGCTATTCTGCTCATCTGCTAAGATTATCCTAGACGTATACTAATTATTGTAAATAAGGGAAACCAAGGACCCTATGTTTATTTGGGTCTGGCTTACTTCAATTAATATGATTTTTTCCAAGTCTTTCCATTTCCTTACAACTGGGGTGGTATTTATGCTTCCATCAGTCTTTTTTATTCAACATTTTTTCACTCAATGACTATCACATGTATTGATAATGTAACAGTTTGGCTACTATAATATCTTTTTTTTTTAATTGTGAAAATACCATACAGAGGGGTTACAATTACATGGACAAGGTAATGAGTACATTTCTTATCAAGAACTGTTGCCTCCTCTTTGTTTCTGCTTACCATCCCTTCATGTCTCCCCAGCCCCTGCGCCCCCCTGCCCCCCCGCACCCTGGGCCAAAGTTGTAAAGTTCATTTTTCGACATAACGTCTTGTACATCTCATTGTTTCAATGAGTCCACCTGTATCCCTATTTAAATGATTTGTTTTTTCCCCTTCCCCTGCACAAATTATACCAACATCAAATACAGTGACAAAAGGCATTATAGCATGGGAAGGGACATACAAAGCAACAAAGAAATCATCTTATAAATATGTTAGAAACAATAGCAAGAAAGAAAAAAAATTGAGTCCTTATCCTGATCTTTTCTACACTACTTCTCACTCATTAACAATTCTTCAAGTGTATTAAAATTGTAATTATATAGCTTAAATTTCCCTACATGTTTTTGTAAAACATTAATTTTACCCTGTGCCATATTATCCTTGATTCATCTCATTAGATTTGGCTTGCCTGCTAACCTGTGAAGCTGTAGTTACAGATTGACCACTCTTGGGCACTCTATATTCTTGCTCAATTTTTATACTGAATCTAACTTACTGAGCCCTTGTCCTGTGCCTGGGCACTGAGAAATAAAAATATGTGAGATCCATGTTTTCTGTGCATATAACATATACCTTTTAAGATGAACACTCTCCTCAATAAGACATTTAATTTCCTGTTAGAATTTAGACTTGTCCTAATGCTTAATTATAATAAGGATTCCTGGAGATAACTTTGCCTGGAATAGCCTGGAAAATATTACTAAACATATATAATTCAAAGCCATGATCTACTGTATTGCAATTAGCAATACCATCTCTTGTCAGAATTTAGTTATTAACAGGGAGAGAGAATGGGCTCTGTAATCATAATACACAACTTTTGCATTAATTAGTTTGGATTGAGGAAAACTAGGGAGAGATAAAGAATTTCTTCATTTAAGAGATAAAGTTTTGTGTAAGTTTACTGAAATCCTAACTCAGAAAAATTAGCAGTACTATAAAAGAATATGTAAATTCACTGAAATCACATACTGTACCAATAATTTCACATGACACAATGAGGATTCTGCATTTTAATCAATGATATAAGCTCAACTCTATTAATGAAATTCCTTAAAAGACAAGGAAGAAAGCAAAAAATGCAATAGAAAGTGATGAGTATTTTGATTATATCTTGATTAACATACTGAGGAAGTTGAAAATTAATTACATTTTCTTTTTTCTTTTTGTCAGTCATGGGCCTTGAACTCTGGGCCTGAGTGCTGTCCCTCAGCTCTTCAGCTCAAGGCTAGCACTCTACCACTTGAGCTACAGGGCCACTTCCAGTTTCCTGTTGGTTTATTTGAGATAAGAGTTTCTCAGATTTTCCTGCCTGAGTTGGCTTTGAACCATGAAACTCTTATCTAAGCCTCCTGAGTAGCTAGGCATGAGCCACTGGCGCCCAGATTACATTTTCTTTGTTAAACATCATGCCGTCAACAAAAGAATAAGCAAACAATATATTTTGCCGAACATTGTTTATTGTCAACTAAAAATTTAATTTATAGAAAGCTATGGTAAGTTAGTTAGCCAGGTATGTTTTAGAAATTTAAATGTGAGAAAAGGTTTGAAATCAGCCTGATCAGGTAAGTGTATGAGACTCTTATTTCCAATAAGATGTCGAACAGCTCGAAAAGGAATGGTGATTCAAGTGGTAAAAAAAAGCCTTGAGTGAGAAAGGTAAAGGAGAGTATAGGCCCTGATTACAAGTATGCATAAATGAATCAAATTATTATCAGAAGAAACCTGTAAAGAACTCTTGAACAGACAAGAAATGAGTGCAAATAGTATAGAGCCCACTAAATCAACCTATTTGAAACAATAATTACAGATTGCCTTCTCAAGATTTGGACATGTGGCACATAAAAATTTTCCAGTTTGAACAGATTGTAAGTAGTGATGATATTACAAGAAATAATATTTTATATATTTAGTATTTGAAATTCTTGGTGTCAAATTAATGCAGAATGATTAACCAACCATAAAATAAAATGTATATCCAGGCAAGAGGACACTTATTATTATGCATGACCGACTTTAATCTTAAGAGAAAATTCAAAACATCTCATACATTGTAACCTTGAATCAAAGTACCATTTACCATTGTACTATTTATAAGTCATTCCTAAGTTATATGAGGGAAGCAATGTGAGAGGGAAAAGGAAGAAAAAGAAGGATATGGAGAGAGACAAAGAGAAAGACTGGGACAAAGAGGAAGGTCCCACCAAAGAGACTTAGCATAATTTCAAAAGGTGAAGGTTTTAGTAGAAATATACAAGTATTGAATAAAGCAATATCTAAGGACAACATTAAAAGATGTAAATTTGTGAAGACGAAAATATTAATGAAATGGATTTGAGGACTCTGCAACATGGAAGTGTGCAACACGAAGTTAATATACTGAAAATTTTAGAAGAGTTGTTGAGAAAGATAAGAGTGAAAAGATATTAAGAAGAGGGGTAATAGAATTAAGTGCAGACTGGATAGGAGTAAGCAAAAATATAGAAGCAAAACTCCAGTTTAAATTGTGATCACAATCACATGTGTCTACCACTGCTAGGAAAATGCACACTAGATCCTTAGTCTTTGAAGGATACATTCCATAATAATTACTGTAGATTTAGATCAGATCTTGTGCATACTAATCAAACCTATGTGTTTAATCTTAAGAATGATTATTTTTCTTACTGTCTTTTATATCTGAAGCCATGAAGAGAATTTCTTTTTGGCATTAATAACATGGAGTAACACTTTGGGACAAAAATGCAGCCTAGGAGTCCTGCACTAGAGGCAAAGATTGAAAAGACCTCCACAGCCACCATGATCTTCCCTGTGGCACTGTGGTAGACAGGTAGAAAGGTGAGCCACACACTGCAGAACACCAGCATGCTGAAGGTCAGGAACTTGGCTTCATTGAAGGTGTCAGGCAGATTCCTGGCCAGAAAAGCCACAGTGAAGCTGGCAAGGGCCAAGGAGCCCAGGTATCCCAGGACACAGTAGAAGGCAGTGAGGGAGCCCTTGTTGCACAGGACGATGATGTGGCCATGTTCAGAGTGTGCATCTGTGTCAACAAAGGGAGGAGAGGTTCCCAGCCAGAGTCCACAGAGGGTCACCTGGATGAGGGTGCACATGGGGATGATGAAGTTAGGAGCCCCTGATACCAGCAGCCACCTCATCCTTCTTCCTGGGGAAGTGGCCTTGAAGGCCAGGACCACAGTCACTGTTTTAGCCAGCACTGTGGAAACAGCCACAGTGAAGACAACCCCAAATGTGATCTGCTGCAGGATGCAGGTGACTATGTTGGGACGGCCAAGAAAGAGCAAAGAACAGAGGAAACAGAAGATGAGGGAGATGAGCAAGATGTAGCTGAGAGCCCTGTTATTGGCCTTGACAATTGCAGTGTCTTGGTATTTTACAAACATTCCAAGAACAGCAGCAGTTAGCAAGGAGAAGCAAATAGTCATGCTAGCCAGAGCTATGCCCAAGGGCTCTTCAAAAGCCAGGAAACTTGCAGTTTTCAAGAAGCATTGAGTTCTGTGCGTGTTGGCATACTGATGATCTGGACACTTCACACATTGCTCCATATCTGCTGAGACATGTACACTATGATTATTTCTTTTTATGAACCTCGTTTATTTCCAATTATTTAGGAAATTTTTCACTTAGGTGAAATCCTCAGATGTCAGCATTTACTATCATAAAAGTGCTTTTATATTTTATATATTATATTTTTCTTCTTTATTCTGAAATTTATATTGTCAAGGTGATGTACAGAGGGGTTAAAGTTACATAAGTTAGGTAATAAGTACATCTTTTGTCAAACTTGTTACCCCTTCCCTCATTTTTGTCCCATTTTTGTCTCTGCCACTTTCTCCCCACAAGTTTTATGCATCATTTCTGATATAGTTTTGTGTATATTGCGGTTGCATTGGTGCCTCCCTTGGCCTTTATCTCACCATTCTGTTGTTGTACTGGGCCCTTGTCCTTTGCCAAGAAGAGTTCTAGACACTGAGAAATAAAGATATGTGAGATCTATGTTTTCTGTGTGCATAAAATATCTTTTAAGATGAATACTCTCCATAATAAAATATGTTTAATTTTCTATTAACGTTTAGACTTGTCCTATTGATTATTGATAAGAAGGATTCCTGGAGATAACTTTGTCTGCAATAGTCTGAAAAATGTTACTAAATATATAATTCAAAGCCATGGGATATCATATTAAAATTAGCAATACCACCACTTTTCAGAATTTAGTTATAAATAGGGAGAGGAGCATGGGCTCTGTAATCCTAATACACAGCTTTTGCATTAACTTGTTTGGAAAACTAGGGAGAGATAAAGAATTTCTTCATAAGTCACAGACTCACCTGTGTTATTAGCAATCTCATTTTCTGGGCAAGGTGTACAATCAAAGCAACAGACAGCCATTCCCTCCTGAGGAGATTTCCTGAATCCAGGACCACAACTATCACTGCAGACAGAGAGAGGAGTCTGAGGAAAGGCAGGGATGTGCCAGTGACTGTTCAGACTCATATCAAACACTGAAAAAATCCATCATTTTAAAGATTGTGATTTTTAAGATAAAGTTTTATACAGGTAAGTGCAGTTGATTTATTGAATTCTGTTATAGATCCCAAAGGGTATGTGATACAACATTGATGTCTAGCCTGTTGAATGACTGAAAGTAATGGGATGTTTAAAAGGCTGATAGTAGGGGTGAAAATGTAATTTCAATTGCACTGCCCTTTGGGATTTTCTTGAATTAATATTATTACACATTTTTGTATACAATTTTATTGCAAAAATTCTGTACAGAGGCTGAAAGTAAGGGTGAAAATGTAATTTCTATTGCACAACCCTATGAGATTTTGGAATTTTCTTGAATTAATATTATTACAAGTTTTTGTATAAAATTTTACTGTAAAAATTCTGTACAGAGGGGTGACAGTTACATGAGAAAGGTTACAATTATATTATCTTATTTTAAATTATATTAAGTGAAGTGAGCCAAGCCCAAAGAAACATAGGTCCCATGGATTCCCTTATTTGCAATATCTAGTATATGTATGAGTCAAGCAGAAAAGGTCAGATAAGGTGATGTTAGGGAAATGACCCCTAAGATATGTATTCAAATGTTTTTTTTTCCTTTCATACGATTGTTTCTAACGCATTTATAAGATTATTTCTTTGTTGCTTTGTATGTCCCTCCTCCATAGTATAACCCCTGCTTTCACTGCATTTGATGTTGGTATAATTTGTGGAGGGAAAGGGGAAAAACAAGTCGTTTAAATAAGGATACAGGTGGACCTGTTGCAACAATGAGAAGTAAAAGTTTTCATTTCGAAAATGAACTTTACAACTTTGGTGGAGGGGGGGGAGAATTGGGTGGGGGAGGCGGGGCGAGGATGTGAAGGGATGGGAAGGGGAAACACAGGAGGAGGCTACAATGCTTGATAAGAAATGTACACATTATCTTGCCCATGTAATTATAACCCTTCTGTACAGTATTTTCACAATAAAGAATAAATAAAAATTAAAAAAAAAACATTATCTTTTTTGGGGGATTGCGGTTCTGGGGGCAGGGCCTGAACTCTGGGCCTGGGAACTGTCCCTCAGCTCTTCAGCTCAAGGCTAGCACTCTACCACTTGAGCCACATCGCTACTTCCGGCTTTTTTCTTTTTGCTTATGTGGTGCTGAGGAATCAAACCCAGAGCATTGTAACCTCCTCCTTGTTTTCCTACTACCATCTCTTCCTTCCCCAAATCCTCCCTCCCCACTCCCACGCCCAATTTGTAAAATTCCTTTTCTACATAGTGTCTTGTACATCTTATTGTTACATTGTGTCAACCTGTATCCTTATTTCAACATTTTGTTATTACCCCTCCACTCCAAAAATTAGAAATACACACACACACACACACACACACACACACATGACTCAGGGCACCAGAAACAAATAGAGTGAAAACAGGAGTTATACCATGGGGGCAAGAAAAAAATCACTGTTGTCTCCTAGTCATCTGTGCTATGGGGAAGAGCAAGGAGGAAACATCCACTTTATAGGGTTATGTAAACACCGGGTCACCTTATCTTTCTCATTGTTTCCAGTGACCTAGACATGAGACTCTTGACACAGATTCCTTCAATGATTCCTCTAAACAAAGATAGTTAAATAGCAGCTCAATTAACCATTAAATAAACCTCCACAGAAAGGAGCAAAAGAAACATTTCAACCAATTGAATTTACTCCTCAGGTACTTTATCACAGTGTTAGATACCTACTGGGAAAAATGTAATTTACAATATTCAAAATCAACATGTAGAAACACATTTAACTTTTTTGGTTCTGATCCTCGGGCTTGAACTCAAGTCCTGTGCACTGGACTTGAGCTATTTTTGCTCAAGGATAACATTCCACTACCAGAGTCACAGTTCTTCTTCCAGATTTTTGGAGGTTAATTGGAGATAAAATTCTCACAGACTTTCCTGTGTGAGCTGACTCTAAACTATTATATTTCCATATAAGCTCTATTAATTGGTAGGATTATAGGAGAAAGTTGCTGGCATTCAGCCAGGTATAAATTTAAAGGGTGACTCTTGCTGATTTGTGTGTGCTTAAAATTATTAGGGTAGATCCAACTCACCTCTGTAGTTCCAATGGCCCACTCTACCATATCTTCAGATAAAGACAGTTGATTACCATGTGGAGCATATGGAGAAAACTTCCCTATCCTCACTGCAAGTTCCAAACCTTCTGGAAAATTCCAAATGTTCAGAATGTCATACTCTGGCTCCAGTTTCCTTTTCTCATCCCAAAAATCATTTGAGCTCTAGTTGGATTGTAAAACTGGATGCTCTTCAGAAAAGTGTGCAGCTAAAAGAGAGACATCATCTGTGGTTAAGTGAATCCCCGAGTTAAGACAGAAAACATGAAGTAAGAAATGCTCCTGATTGCCTTTAATCTCTGATTCTGAATTCAAAAAGAGTAGAGACACCCAATGAAGTATCTCAGAAGAAAAATCTATGGAGGAATTAAAAATAATCACTTCTTTCCTGATCACTCAGAAAGTAGTAGAAAGTCTTTTTTCCAGAGAAATCATTTTAGTCCGTCTGGACACAACCACTGTTCTATATGAATGTCTATAATTTGTGGTTGTTAGATGGTTAATGCCAAAAGTTGAATGAAACTTGGTCACTTATGAAAAATATGGATAATTTTTTTCATTTGGTTATCCTATGATTTGACTGAATAAAGTCATAGGGAAAAGCTCTACTTGCAGTTTTCAAAACACTAGCTATGAACATGTTGAGGTTATTAGTAACTAATGGAATTCATGAGCAAGTTCCTCTTGGCTTATGGATGTAAACCAAGCTATGCAGGTGGCTCAGTTCAGAATCATGCTTGGAAGCCAGCTTAGGCAGAAAAGTTCGTGAGAATCATGTCTCCAATAAACAATTCAGAAAAAGCCAGAAAAATGCTGTGCTTAAGTGGTTGAGCACTAGCTTTGCACATAAAGTGACTCAGACACTTGCCAAAATTAATTTATAGAAAGATGGAATATATTTTATCCTTGTTACTGGCAGATTGTTTTCTTAACAGCATATCCATACATATCTAGAATACTTCAAAGACACTGAAATGAAGAATCAAATAGGGTTTTGAAAAACAACTGAATTATTTAATTTTTTCAATGTGAATCTACATTTTTTTCAATTTTTGTGGTTATGGCTGTTTCTAATACCAGAAGGTAAAAAGTTTAAGAGTTGAGAGAATTACTTCAAATATTGAAATATTCATTAATTTCAGCAACCAAGTTATATATGACATATGAATAAAACATACATATATATTTGTGAATATAAACACACATGCATATACATATCCAGGAACACACATGCATACATACAAAAATATTTAATTTAATACATTAAAGAACCCCTCTAGAAAGTGTCTTTGCTCATGGTGTGTGTACTCCAACATTGAAGAAATTACCTGTTCAGGGGAAGGCACTTTTTCTTTTCTATTGTCCATTGTTTGAAATTCTGTTTGATGAAGAAGCATCGCATGGAGAGTCTGGGCCACAGCATACACAGCATTGTAAACATTGTAACTGTCTCTAGACATAGTCATATCAAAAATATGCACAGGCAACAAATCCAAAGAGGCATCATGAACACAGTTGTCCCAAGTCACACAGTCAGACTCAGAAGCTGAGCAATTAAAAGACAGAAACCACAGTCTGGCAAGAAAAATGTCTTCTGGGTATTTTGAAGGCTTAGCTGCCTTGATAAAATCTGTGAATCCAGAAACATCTACATAATGGTGTGTAAAAATAAGAGGTACATGCAATGAGCCTAGCATGAAATATCTCCTTTTCAGTGTGAAATCCCACTGTGAGTTCATAATGCAAACTTTGCCATGTATAAAAATTTGCTCGATAAATACCACTAAACCTATCAGTGAATCATTATCACCATATATGATGAGAACACTTGCTGAAGATACATTTATCTCATTATGAACTGCTACCAGTTTGAATATATGTGACACGTCTTGGGTTGACATCACTAACTCATAGGCTATACAAACTCTGTTCTTGGCCATCTCTTCTTTCAATTCAGCAAGAACCCATGAAGCATTCTCATCTTGTGAGGTCAACAGTCCCACCCAGTTCCAGCTGAAATGAAGAAGTAAGGAGACCATGGCAGTGGCTATTGGTGTGTCTTTTGGGGCCATCTGATAGAGAGCAGGAAACTTGTTATGATCGCTCAGGGCACGATCAAAAGGCCCAAAGGTAAACTAAAGAGAAAGAAAATTGGACACTCCATGAATGAGAAGATTGCCATGTATCACAATCTTAGTCTTGAAGTCTGTTAAGAAACAGTTGAAGTAGGTTGAAGGTAGGTTTTATTTTAGTTTTGAAAAAAATAGTTTGTTTTTGCAGAACATATCAATTGACTTGTAATTATCTCTTGATCCTCAACACTATTCCTATCAACTCTTCTCAACTATATCAACCTCACCTTCTCCTAATTCCATTTTCACATATGCCCATTGTATATTATGTTTCTTTTCACCAACAACTGATGCCATATTCCTTTTCATTATCCCCTTAACACCTACCCCACTCAGACAAGATATTTTTCATGTTTTTGGTGTTCATTTTTCATGCTGTCAGTAGATCAGAAAAGTTCCACCATGGAGTTCTGCCCTTATGTATATCATACTTTAGTCAGATTGATCATCTATATATGTAAGTGGCTATGTGAATCTTCCATATTCATGTTTTAGATCTAACTTTCATATAAGACAGGACACATTTACCCTTTCTTGTTTCAGATTTACTTCATTCATCATGGTATCTTTCCTGTGTGTGTGTGTGTGTGTGTGTGTGTGTGTGTGTGTGTGTGTGTGTGTGTACGTGTGTACGTGTACGCCAGTACAAGGGCACAAATTCATGACTGCTTACACTTCACTGGCAAACTCCCTAAGACTTGTGCTGCACCAATGGAGTCACATATTCACCTTGTGCCCTTTGCAGGTTAATTAGACATACAAGTTACCTGATTAGCTAGGATTATAGTTTTAGTCATCAGTACCTTGTTCAGTTTGTACACTGCAAAGTCCTCTCCATTTCCTGATTCATTAAAGAAAATTATTGCTATCGATTGAAACAGTGAATTATCCATTTGTCTTTTCAAATCTTCTTTTTCCAAAGTGTGAAAAAATATATTTCCAACTATCTTTGAGTAATTACTATTTGATACTACAAAAATTGATGGGTTCATAAAAAGAATCTCTTCCTATCATTCTCTTCTATCACCTGAAATGCCACCAAATTAGACATTATTATAACCTTCCACAGTTTGCACTCACCTGTGGAAATCTGTAGAGTCCTAGCAATGTCCCAATCTGGTCAGATGTTATTCCTGATGGTCCTGTAAGTACTGCTATTGTCATGCTGTCTCGAATGCAGGAGTAGTTTGGAATCTTGTACTTCCCAAAGAGACAAGTGAAGGGATTCTTAAACATTGTCCAAGTTCTGAATTCAACATCATAGATATCATATCCCAGAGTCAAGTTATGTAAAAGATCAGGATTTTTGTTGATCTCCTCAATAGCAAAAGCCAAGGCCAAAACAAACTGATAGTTCTTGAACATAAATCTGTATAATGGGCAAAGAAATTGAGGAGGAATATTCCAAACCTTAAGACTTCAATACCTCATATGCTTGGTTTGTTGTCAAGGAATGTTTTAAAATATTACCTCAATGAGAATTTAATGTGAATTCAGTGTCTTATGTTTGTGTAAAGATCTATGAAAGACATGAAGGGCATTTGTCATAAATGAGATTCATAAAGTTATTTAAGTCGAGAGAGAGCTTGTTTTCCCTATCATCGCATGAACCAGAGCAAAACTCTGTTGTCTTTCATTCAGTTTTCATGAGATAACAAATGTTGTATTGCCTTTACATTAGGGCAATTAGCTATACCAGTGTGGAAAATGATTCTGGTGTTTCCAGTCACCCATTTTATATTATGTATATATTTGGCATGTCAGGCTAACTACGGAATGTTTAACTTGACTGCAATGTTCAGAAGAAAAGTGTTATTTATAAATAATTCTATTGCAAGCTCCGCTCACAGACCAGCATATTGAATAGTTCTTACTGATAACGAGAAAAAGAGCTAAACTATTGTGGGTGTGGATTTAATGTTTGTTTATATGAAACAAAAATGATGCATCCAATTTCAAGGAAGTCAATTTGAAATAAGGAACTCATGGCATGAGGGTTAAGGAGAAAATTGTAGGTAAGGTTTGCATAGAAAACTCAGTTCCAAGCCTCCATGGTTAAATTCATTTTTAGATACCCTCTTCCAAATATATTTAATTAGCAACTGGAAAGGAAGCAATAGAGCAAAATAAAGAGGATCAAAGTACTTTTCCTTCTTTTTCTGTGTTCTTTTTGTGTTCGACAAGGTACATGTGAGTGTCAGTGTGTGTTTGTGTGTATTTGCATGCAAGCTTGTGAGTGGGCATATTCTAAAGGAAGTAATATAATGAAATCACTTGGTATTGTTTAAAAGGAAACAATGAAGGGACATTGGGTATATTAATGAAATGTTCAATATATACCATAGGTATATGTGAAGTGATCACAATGAAAGTCTGTCATATTTTAAATGCTCTAAACAGAAGAAAATAGTGAGCTTGTACATACACATGTGGAGGAATAAAATGTAGGAATGAAGATGTGTGAAAGAGATTTTTCAAAAGTTGAAGATTGAGCTCCCCGGTTACCTAGCAATCCCACTTTTGGGCATTTACTCAAACAATCATAAACAAGGCTATACTAAAGCTACCAGCACAACTATGTTTATCACAGGATAATTCACTATAGTTAAGATATGGAACCAACTCAGTTGCCCCTCAGTATATGAATGGATCAAAAAATGTTATATATATATATAAAATGAAATTTTATGCCTCCATCATAAAGAATGACACTGCCCCAGTTGTTAGGAAATGCAAAGACATAGAAAAAAATTATATCAAGTGAAGTAAGAAGACTCAGAGAAACATAGATCACATAATTTCCCTTTCCTCAATAACTAGTATATGTCTAGGACAAGCAGAATAGGTCAAAATGTATATATATATATATATATATATATATATGTGTGTGTGTGTGTGTGTGTGTGTGTGTGTGTGTGTGTGTGTCTGTGTGTGTGTTTGACAATATAAGTTGATGCTAATTGAAATAAGCAGCAAGATAAAAATATTTCTTCTGGGTCGTTTTAATGTACTTATCATATACAGGTAAGAAGAAACAGGAAGAAGAGATTTAGACTGCCACATCCAGACACAGAGGCCCCTCAAGAAGACTCCTGATACCCAGCTCAAAACTGACTCTGGAATCTGTGAGTACCTCCTAGAGGACTCCTTCCTTGGATGACTAGTTTCAGGTGGTGGTCTAATAGCCAATAACAGTTAAGGTAATTGAAATGACCTAAAGCCCCCATTCTGGAAAAGCCCAAGACTAAATGGATTCACAGGAGGAATCTATAAATTCTTCAGATATGAATGCACTCTATACTCCACAAACTCGAGGTATGAGATCAAACCACAGAAATGAGTAGCCTTCCTGTGTGGCAACAGTGAGAAGAGTGATACTGAAATCAAGAAAGCAATGTCATTTGTAATAGCCTCACAACAATACTTAAGAATTAATTTAGAAACAAAGATGGGAAGGATCTATATTGGGAAAATGTTTAAAACTCATATAAAGACATTGAAGTTGACTTTAGGAAATGAGAAAATATCCCATGCTCCTGGTATGAAAGAATGAACATCATGAAAATAGCAATTCTGTCCAGAGCAATATACAAATCGAATGCAATACCCATCAAAATTCCAGCAACATTCTGCCAAGAAAGAGAGAAATCAAACTAAAAATTCATATGGAAGAATTAAAGATCTAGAATGCAAAAATAAAATCCTCAGCAGTAGGAACAGTGCTAGAGGGAGATCATTATCAAAGTTGAAGCATTATGACAGAGCCATACTAATAAAAACATTTTGGTATTGGCACAAGAAAACGACTGAAGCCCAATCAAACAGAACAAAAGACACAGAAACAATCTCACAAACATATAGCCACCTAATATTTGATACTGGACCCAGAAACAGAGCTTCCAAGAAAGATAGCCTCTTACAAGAACAGTGCTGGCAAAATTGGCTATCTACATGCAGAAAACAGAGGCTTTATATCCATATATCACATTGCATCAGAATGAACTCTAAATGGATCAAATATCTCAATGAAAGGCCAGATATTGTGAAAATATTACAGGAAGGACTAGGGAAACATCTAATCCTTATAGCATCATGGTAAAAGTTCTAAACAAAGATCCGGAATCACAACAAATCAAAGAAAGACTGGATAAATGGGACTGTATTAAACTGAAGTGATTCTGCATAGCAAGAGACTTAGCTAGTAGGATAATTGAATAGCCCACAGAATGGGAGAAAAAAATTGACTAGCTCTATGTCAGACAAAGGGGTCATATCTAACACATACCTAGATCTCAAAAATTAATAGCACAGAATGAAACTTTCCAAGTCAACAACCCAATCAATAAAAGGGCCAAAGACCTTAAGAAGGACTTCTCAGAGGAAGAAAATTGGTCAATTGATACATAAACAAACCACAGATAAAAGTAATGTTCCCAGAAGTGTGTTCATAACTTCTGGGAACATTACTTTTGTCTGTTGTTTGTTTCTGCTCTGGTTTATTCCCTGTGATTTCAGTCCCCCTATTCTTCTATATACGTTTATGTGAGTTGAGAAGGGAATGGGAATCAGAGAAACAGAGAGATACAGTGAACCATTGCAACAGTGATATTCACAAGAAACTATGTAGAAAATGAACTGGCTATGTCGTGGGTGATATGGGTGGGAAAGACAAGGAGAGAGTGATGAAAGAACAGACAAGATTCAAAAACAATTGTACTCATTACTCATGTACTTATAAGCCCTCTACATATCAACTATCCAGTACCAATAATATGGGATAAATAAAGTAAATTCCCATTAATAAAATAAACAGGCCATTCACAAGCAAGGAAATTGCATTGGCAGTAATAGACCTCCCTCTCCAGAAATGCCCAGCACCTGAGGGAGTTACAGATGAATTCTAAAAGACTTTTAAAGGAGAATTTTCACCAGTACTCTTCAAACACTTTAATGACATAAAAAGGAGGGAACACTGATCATTCTATGAAGCCAACATTACACTCATCTCCAAACAAGAGAAAGCCACACTGAGAAAAAACAACTCTGTTTCTTTCTCCTCGATTAACCTTAATAAAATACCTTTCAACAAAATACAGGCAAATAGAACCCAACAACTGAGGCAGAAAATCATAAGTTATGATTGAAGGGATGCATGCTAGGGATGCAAACCTGGTTTAACATATGCAAGCAATTAACATATTATAGCACATCAGCAGAAGCAAGGGCAAAAGCTGCATGATTAACTCAACTGAAGCAGAAAAAATGTTTAACGATATCCATACTCCTTCATGATGAAAGGTCTGGAGAAGCTAGGAATCTTTGGAACATTACTCAATGTAAGAAAGATTGTAAATGAACAATCCACAGCCATTTCTATGCTTAATGGTGAACAACTAAAGATATTTACTCTAAATTCAGGAAACAAGGATGTCCACTCTCTTTATTACTCTTCAATAAAATATTAAAATTTGTAGCAAGAGCAGTACGCAGGGGTAAGGATGAGTACAGCCATCCCTTTACACAGATGACATGATCATGTACTTAAGAGAACCCAAATCTCCTCTTCTGCTGCTAAAATTGATCCTGAACTTTGACAAAATAGCCAGGTACAAAATCAACACACAAAAATTAATTGCTTTTCTCTTTGCCATTGACAAAGTTCAAGGCTGAAATTACAATTGTACCCCATTTGCTATTGTCTCAAAAATATAAAATACCTGGGAGTGAACAAATACTGGAAAGACCATTCTAATGATAACTCTAACAATTTGAAATAGGAAAGCAAGGAGGATTTAAGAAGATAGGAAGATATTCTGTGCTCCTGGGCTGGAAAAATTAGTATTGCAGAAATGGAAAAATTATCCAAAGTAATTTACAAATTTAATGCAGTTTCCAAAAATATAAGCAAAATTATTCAGAGACAGAGAAAGCAATCCAAAACTCAAAGGGAAATAGAAAAGACCATGAAAAGCAAAACTATTCTTAGTGGTCAGAAAAATGTTCGACAAATGACAATACTGAACTTCAAGCTCTATTAGAGCAGTGTAGTAGTGAGAACCGCATGGTACTGACAAAAAGACAAGCCAGAGAAGCAATGGAACAAAAGACCATGAAATGATCTAAAAGACCCATAGCCATCTAGTATTTGATAAAGGGGACAAAAATATAGGCATAAAGAATGATGCTGGCCATACTGGACATCTATATGCAGAAAATTGAAACTAGATATCTATACATCACCTTGCACCAATGTCAATTTAAACACTATTCAAGAACACAATGTAAAGCCAGAAAACATCAATCTTTTTCAAGGAATGTGAAATTCCTGAATCAGAACAAATAAAATTTACCATGATTGATAAATGGGACTATACCACACAAAATTTTCAGCTCTGCAAACCACATAGGGAACAACAGGAAGACCATAGAACAGGAGATTTTTTTTTACCAGGTATCCATCAGAGAACGGTCCCATATCCAAAATATATGTGGATCTCAAAATGCTGATTCCTCCAAGATTTAACATCCCAACTATTAAGTGAGCTAATGACTGAAGAGAAACATCTTACAACAAGAGATAAAAATGACCAATAGACACATGATAAAATATTCAACACCTCTTGCCATAAAGGAAACACAAAACAAGACCAAATTGGGATTGCACCTCACCCCATTTAGAATGGCCATTATGAAGGAAACAATAAGCAATTCTGCCAAGGAAGTGGCCAAATGGGAACTCTATTATATTGGTTGTGAGACTCAAAATTTGTTCACCCAGTCTGGAAAGCAGTATGGAAGGACCTTAAAACAGCAAGCATAGAACTACCTTATTACAATCCAAATCACTTCTAACGGTGTATACAACTGAGCATGAACAAGGATACCTTAAATCTACCAACACAATTACGTTTATTGCAGCTTTATTTACCATAGCCAAGATATGGAATCATCCCAGATGCCTCTATATACATACACAGTGAAATACTTTCCATCCATTACAAAGAATGACACTGAACCATTTGTAAAGAAATGGAATGACTAGGAGAAGATTACATTAAGTGAAAAATCCAGACCCAGAGAAGCACAGGTTGCATGATTTCCCTCCTTAATGGGAACTAGTATGTGTCCTATACATCTACGAGTAAGCAAACTGGATTGCACCCAAGGAATTATCAATGAATTAACCAAAATATAATAGAATCTATTGGAAGCACAAATAATATAATTCCTTAGCAAGATAAGGACAAAGGCCAACAAAATGAGTACTTGGTGGGTTGTGGGAGGCCAAATGCAGAGGAATAGAAGCATGGATGTGGAAAATGAGTAAAACGCAGCTAAGTATGCATTGTATATGCCACAGAACTGGGGAAAATAGGGCAAGGACTAGGTAGAACAGGTGAAGCACGTTGAAGGGGTGAAATAGATCCAGATGCTTTGTATACATAAATTGCTATGTTAAATGGTAAATGTCCAAGACATAATGTACATTTAAGAAAATTGAGGGATGGGCTTGTGGTGGGTGTGGTGGGTGAGAATCTTCAAAGGGGTGACATTGATCAAGACACACTGTATTCATTAACTGCTCTGTACAGCTACTTTGTACAATTCTATAAAGAAAATAATATTTGAAAATGTAATAAATTTACTGGTAAGATTATGTATATTATATAATATATATTACAAATACAATACATATTATATATAATATATAAAGAACATGTATATAACTGTATGTATAACTATACAAGAAGTTTACTAATGTTTGGAACAAATATAAATGAAAACAGAATATCAGGATCTATAGATATAGAAAAAGAGCAAAGAATTGAAACTGTAACACGTTGATGAAATCAGGAGTACACATGCTGTACTAAAGAATCTATGCTGAATCTCAAGCAACTAGAGAAACAAACCCAAAATTAGCACAAAGAATGAAAGTAGAAGAAAAAGAATTAGAGACTAAAAACAAAATGCCAATAATCAATAAAGCAAAAAGGAGGTTCTACAAGAAAAACAGGGTGATAGAACGGAAGTAAAATTAGCTAACCATAAAATGGGTAAATCATAATATACCACATATGAATGCACACCTTCCATTATACTGCATGCCAGAACCACTATAGTATAAATAGCTGTATTTCTGAAAAAACATCCATAGAAGATTCAGTCTATATAAAAATTCCTATCACTTCCTTTACAGAAAAAAGGCAAAATTGAATTTTATGAATAAGAAAATTCTCCATAGGCCAGAGCTATTTTAAGACACAAGAACAACATGAAATCATCCTTATGCCTGTTGTAATACTTATAATAGCAGAAAACATTCTGATAATAACAGACACATGTATCAAAGAAATATAAGACCATAAAGTAATTGTAAACAATAGATATCTGATTGTTGGAGAAGGTGTCAAATAACACATGCCCAAACATGACACCCTTAGCAAGCAGTGGCATTGTGAGACGAGGCATGCCTGTGTGAAACACTTAAACTAGACCATATATTTTTAATTTCAAAATTGATTAGTTCTTAATAGAGACTTGAACTTTGCAAGTAACGTGAAAATGAGGGGAAATATAAATACAAAGGTAACTTCAACAAAAGTCAATAGCTCATAAAAGAATAGGAAGAAATATTCTCTGGGTTTGATTAAATGTGAGAATACTTTGTCACATTTACAAGGCCATAACTTCCACCCAAGCACTGGAATTGTAAAGTAACTGTGCTTATCCAATTGAAAAGCTTCAGCACAGTGAAAGAAATGGTGGGAAAGTCAAATGAACAGTTAAACATATTGGTAGCTATACATCTCACAGAGGATGAATAATGTAGAGGAAAAGTTCTAAAAATTAAATATTAGGATAGAAAAAAATCCAATCAAGGAACAGACTAGTAAAAGTTAGATAATCACTACAGAAAACTGATATTCAATCATTTGGGTATTGATGACACACATTAGTTATTTTCTAAACCAGAGAAAAATTACAGTCTTCGTAATGGTATACAATAATTAAAGTTTAGAGATTCTTCAAGAAATTAAAATTATCTCTACTGGTTGAAAATACCTGCAATCCTAGCTATAGAATTTAACTTGGGCAGGTAAATGCCCCCTCAGGAAATCGTTCATAACACTGATCTTCCTGGTAACACCTGTGTTGTGGAGCCTATCTGACATGAAACAATGCCACAAAGCTTAAGTTGTAAAAGTAACTGCTCGAGTGTGCTAAAAATGTGTATGTATGTAACTGTGTGTGTGTTTGTACCTATGCACATGTGCACACTAGTTCTAGGGCATGAAATCAGTGCCTGGGCACGGTTCTTGTGCTTTTTTGCTAAAGGCTCACATACTATCACTTGAGACACAAAATTATTTCCAGCATTTGGCTGTTTAATTGGAGATAAAAGTCACATAGACACAATTAAAAATAGTCACATAGATTTTCCTATTTGGGCTCATTTCAAACCTCCATCCTCACAAATCAATTCCATGAGTAATTAGGATTACAGACATAAGGCACCATAAGAAATTTTATTAACATTCGCAAAAGATACATGTTACTAAAGAAAAGTTCTCAGACCACTGGGATAGGGATAAGGAAATGAAGTGGCAGCCTTTTAATACAGAACTCATGCCTGTGACTCAGGTTGATTGTAGTTACATCACTACATATTCCACAGTGACAACTGAAGTGGAAGAGATACTGGGATGCTAGAGTAAACAGAAATTACATACCTGGAAAGAAGAAGCTATAGGAAGTAAATGGAGTCCTCTCCTGCCAGCAAGCAGAAAATCAGTCAAAAGGAGATGTAAGACAACATAATAAACCTTAGCTGCTCAGGATGCAATAGTGATCAAGGTCAGTGTAGAGGAGACAGAGATCACTGATGTGTGCAACCTGAGTTTCCTCACCCATTGACCATCCTCAGAATAAAACAGTAATGGAAATAAAATATGAAAGTACTTACATCTTGTTCTCTTCTTGCCTGGAAGCATGGCTGTTCCTGTGATCTACTCCCAAAGTGTAGAGAGGGAAAAACCCAGTGATCATCACATCTCCATGCACATGTGCTCGGTGCTTCATTGTTGAAAAGCAGCTAGTGCTAGCCAAGGACCTGACAGGGAGAGGAAGATAGAGAAGGAGGAGTGTGAAAGCTAAAGGGCACATCCTTGGATCCTCTGCCAAGCAGAAAAGCTGGCAGGAATTGAGACCCCGAGTTGCGGTTATGTATATGTGCATATGTATCTTTTTATTGACAGAGATCTACACTATAACTCATCTCTAATCAAAACCTCTTGTTAGTCCCCAGAAGTAATCTATAAGAGTATTCCCAGGGGCTCTGCATTTGTAGCCTTACATCAGGAAGAAATACATGAGTTAGAAAACATGTTTTCAGATTTGCCTTCTTCACTGCAGGTGCTGTGATTTCATCTAAGAACAAATTTAGTGAGGCCCCGGAGGTGGAGTTATCTTGGTTAGAGTTTGTCCAAAGTCTGTGTCTAGACTATTTGCATGAAAGTTATTTGGGATGATGCAACTGGATTGCATGGGATGATATCATGTCATGTGAATGGTGAAGTGGCCAGAAAAAGTCTATGCATCTGAGTTGTCAACTAAAGTTATGAGGGTATTGTACTTAGAGGATCGATTCACAGACACCATATCCAGGTAAACATCCTCTTTTTGTAAATGATATGTCAGTTTCAATGCCATAAAGATACAAGCAGAAGGCTTTCCACCAACTCAAACTCACTAATGAAGAAAAACACCTCTGTACACACTTGTCTGCCACAGGTTCCAAAGATGTCTAAGGGAAATTCAATCTACACCATAAAAATCCACTATCAGACTTGAAAACCAGAGGATGTAGAAGAAAGAATCAGAGAAAAGAATAGAACAGGAAGTTCTTCCCATTTTTCTGGATGAGAATGAATATTATTGAAATGCCCAATTTACAAAGAAACTTGCTAGTTCATTTTCTTTCTAAATTCCAATGTTGTTCTAGGCAAAAAATAATCTTTTAAAATTTACTTGGATTCACACAATGAAAAAACTAAATCATAAGATAAATTTACAATGCTGGAAATATGGGAAACCTGATTTCAAACTATACTACACAACCACTGAAAGAAAATCACATTGACACTGGTCCCTAGAACATATGGAAACCAATAAACATAATAGATGATTCAGAACAATCCAGTTAACTGATTGTTGACAACATGGCCAATTACATATAGTGGACACAAGATTGCTTCTGTTACAAAATTTGTTTGTGAAACTGCATTGCCACTTGTTGAAGACTGGAAATAGTTCCCTGTCATTCCATTAGAGTCCTTAACTTAAGGGCTTCAAATATGAAACTACATTGATAAATAAGGGAAACACTTGAAGCAATAGACAGAGGTAAAGATTTTCTAAGGAGTAATGCAATAGCTTAAGACAGAAGAGCAAAACTTGATGAATATGTCCTGGACCGTGGCTCAGGTAAAGGACTTGGGTTGCCTCTACACACTAAGGAACTGAGGGAGGCATTGAGAGTCATGACTACTGCAACATGCTCACATGGCTGAGACTGGGATCACAGTTCACAAACAGCTTAGGCATAACTTTCATGAGACCCTCTTAAGGTATTTGTGTGTGTGTGTGTGTGTGTGTGTGTGTGTGTGTGTGTGTGCATGTACATCTGCGTCTGTGTTTCTGTGTAGGTGTATATGGATATATGCTGATGTGAGTGTGCTCAGAAGGAGGGCTGAGATCAGGAAGATTGTGATACCAAGCCAGCCCAGGCTAAACACAAGATCCTGAGATTCTGTGTAAATAGAAGAAGCTGGATATTGAGGCATATGCTTGTCATTCCAGTTGTGGCAGCAAGCAGCTATAGAAAGACTAGAGCCTAGGCATGGACATAGAGCAAAAGCAAGATACTTTCGTAGAAATACTCAGTGCAAAGAAGGGCTGGAGATAGGGTGCATTCTATAGTAACTCCCTATCATGATCCTCAAAAAAGCATTGACAAATGGGTGTGCATCAGATTGGAAGAATCTGCATAGTCCACAAAGATGCAAAGGGATATCACTCAGGCCCCAAGTTCAAGCCATAGTATTGGCACAAAATATTACACAAAATGAATGGCAGAAATGAAATACAGGTCATGGCTTGTGGTGTAGAAAGAAGGTCAATGGAGCTGAACAGATTCCACATAACCAACATACTGAATATATGTTTGTGAATATGGGATAATCAAAACTTTATTTAATGGTTTTAAGAAGGGATGTTGTTGACAGATTTTACTTCTTGTGCTTTAAAAAAGTGTACATTATATATATGTATATATGTACATGTAAACATCAAAACACATATAAAACCTTATTTTATTTTATTTTTATTTTTAAAATTTATATTGTCTAAATCATTGTAAAGTGGAATTTCTTTTTAACAAAGAAGTTTATGAATACCCTACATAACTTGATCAATTTTATCCCTTTCAATGTTTCACTCATTCCTCCCCTATCCACCTCTTCCATCTTTTCATTTTGAAGTATATATATATATATATATATATTGGATGTGTGACTGCATTCTCATCTTCTCATCTTTATATGTCCATTCCTTTCCCCTGATTTGATCCCACCCCTTTGGAGTGACTGTTTTGTGGTGTTTTATTTTGCAGAAAGTTGACTTTGCCTTTGTAGGAAATTACATTATTTGAATTCTTTAATGAATCTACTGTGTTTCAGTTAATACATCTGAATCAACTTGCATATCACTTACGCTTTCACTTTATATATTAATTCTAGGTTCCATATGTAAAGGAAAACATATATCCTTTGTTTCTAGGCCTGACTTACTTCATTTAGTATACATTTTTCCAGTTTTCCCATCTCATTACACATGGTATATCATTCATTCTTATGAATGAACAAAAACTCATTGTGTATGTAGACCATATTCTTGGTCCATTTATCCACTGACCAGAATCTTGGAAGATATATATATATATATATATATATATATATATATAAACATAGCTTTGCTGGTAGCTTTAATGTGGTTTTGTTTGTAAACATTTGGGTAAATGCCCAAAAGTGGGATCATAGGGGAGCTCTATGTGAAGTCTTTTGAGGAACCTCCATACTGCTTTCCAAAGTGGTTGAACAAATTTACTCTCCCACCAACAATGAAGTAAGGTTCACTTTTGGGCACATCCCCCCTCACATAATTCTTACAAGCTGGTATCTTTGTCTTTGCCAAAATCAACCATCAACTCTGCTTTTGCCCATTGTTTCCCTCCTTGGAAACTGCTGAGCTGTGGTTCCATCCACAGCTAAAAGGAAAGCTTAGAGATGTAGCTGACCCCATTATCCTGCTGCCCTGAGGCTCTCACCTTTATTTCACTAACAAATTTTATGTGGATATGTTCATTGTTTCTCTACTAAGATAATGTCTTCCATGGGTTTGTGCTAAAGGTTGTTCATATCTGGAATTCCAGGGGATACAACAACTCTGATGGTCATTTTATTTACCCTACCTGAAATCCAATCTAGGCTATTAATTGAATCCGTACTACTTTGATTCCCACCCTCATTTTCTTAGCCCTTCAGGTTTAAGTCATGTGTGAGACTGGCTAGTTTAGTAGAGGATTCCCACAATGAAGACTAAAAAGTAATGTTACTCTATCCCAATCCTGCTATGTCTCCTCTGCTCTGTGACTTTGGAGGTTTTTGTTCTTGTATTGTTTTTGTTTTACCTTGGTGCTATTCCTGGTCATTCAGTGTCTGCACACTGGTTTTGAGCTTTTTGGTCAATGTTGTAATCTACCCTTTGGAGCTAAACATCCATTTCCAGCTTTTTTATTGGTAGATAATTAAGGATAAGAGCCTCAATGTCTTTCCTGTCCAGGCTGACTTTGAACTGCAATGCTCTGAGATCAACTTGGTGAATAGCAAGTATTACAGATAGGAGTCCCCAACACCCAGCTCACTCTGTGTACTTTTGTGGTAAGTTTCTCTTCATAGCTTTGCAAACAACTGTACTTCAATCCTTTTGTAAGTTTCCATCCCAGTGGTGATTATAGGCAGGCACCATCGTTGTGACTAACAGCCACATAGCATTGCCCTGGAACTCTCATTTCCTCAATCTCCACCTCTTACAAATCTGGGATGACAGACATCTGCCACCTCACCCAGGCAAGATAGCCCAGAAACTTTTTTTTTTTTTTACCTAGCCTGAATTTTGAGAAGAATCTTCTTAGTCTTGACTAGGGTTTAAAGAGTTTCCCATTGGTTTTTGGCTTATTAATTTTTTTTATATTTCTTCAAAAATACACTGTAATTTGGGGTGGAATAACACTGAATGCGCAGTAACTTTGAGGAATATAGCCACCTTCACAATTTTAATTCTTTTTTATTTATTACTTTTTTATTTGTTATTTTTTATTGGTATTTTTTTTTACTGTACAGAGGGGTTACAATTATATGGGCAAGGTAATGAGTACATTTCTTATCAAGCATTGTTGCCTGCTCATTTGTTTCCCCTTCCCATCCCATCTCATCTCCCTTCCCTCCTCCCTCCGCCACCACGCCAAAATTATAAAGTTCGTTTTTTGACATAAAGTCTTCTACATCTCATTGTTGCAATGGGTCCACCTGTATCCATATTTAAACAATTTGTTTTTTCCCTTCCCCTCCACAAAATACACCAACATCAAATACAGTGAAAACAGGGGTTATACCATGGGGGAGGGCCATACAAGGCAACACGGAATTCATCTTATAAATATGTCAGAAACAATCGCAAGAAAAAAAATTGAATGCTTATCTTGGGGTTCATTTTGCTAACTTCAACTTATCTGACTGTCTCTGCTTGTCTCAGACATATACTAGTAATTGCAAACAAGGGAAACCTTGGGACCTATGTTTCTTTGGGCCTGGCTTACTTCACTTAATATAATTTTTTTCAAGTTTTTAATTTCCTAACAAATGGGGCAATATCATTTTTTCTAATGGAGGCATAGAATTCCATTGTGTATATATACCACATTTTCTTGATCCATTCATCTACTGAGGGCCATCTGGGTTGGGTCCATATCTTAGCTATGGTAAATAATGCTGCAATAAACATAGTTATTTCTTTCAGACTTTGAACGCAGAATGTCTTTCCATTTTCTTATCCACTGTCTTGTATCATAGCTTTCCTCTTCATTGTAGAGGTATTTACAGATCTTTCTTAGGTTTATAGTCCTAGGTATTTGTTTTTGTGAAGCCACTATTTGAAGGTATATGTGAAATCAACATTGGGCTCATCGTTAATTTTATTTTAATAGATTAAAAAATAAAGTTTGGTCCTAATAGACAAAAGACAGTTTATGTTTCCAACTCTAAGTAGATTAAGTTTTAAATTTTATTTTTTCTATCACCTTAAGCTTTTACTATTGTATATAGTTAAAATGGGTTTCATTATGTTAGTTTTATATGGCCATATACCTATGGTCATATAAAATCTTTTGTCTAATTATCCTTTCTCCATTACATTTTACTTCCTGTAAAAATTTAAATCATCCTAATGGCCTCTATTACTTTATTCTCCTTCACTCATATGATATTTCCAATGTTTGATATTAGATATATAGACTGTTTTAAAGTAACAAAAATCTGATAAATACATTTAGTATTTGCTTCTTAATAACACACACACAAACACACTCATACAGACACAAACACACTCATACAGACACAAACACACAGATGCACACACACACACACACACACACACACACACACACAATACATGGAAGATAGGAAAACCATGACTCAAGGGCAAATTCCAGCCTGATTCCTATGAATAAAGTTTTATTTTCACAAAAATAAAAATATTTTATATGACTACATTTTCCTTTATCCTTCTTATCTCTGTTCTTCTATCTGTTTATGCATGAACTTTTTATTTATATACATTTAATTTCTACTTGTTTCATCAATCCAATCTTACTTCAACATATAAGTCCAAACGTATGTAAATTCTTTTCATTACTTCATTTAAGTGAAAAAGTATTTTGTAAGATCGCTGAAAACCTAACTCAGAAAAAATTAGCAAGGATTACAAAATAATATGAAAAATCACTGAAACCACATATTTTCCCATTGATTTCTCATTATACAATGAGGGTTCTGCATTTTATTCAATTATATAAAATCAACTCTATTAATGAAATTCCTTAAATAAACAAGGAACATAGTCAAAAATGCAATAGAATCTGAAGAGCATTTTGATTATATCTTGATTAATATAATGAGGAAGTTGAAAATTAACAGCATGCCACAACAAAAGAATAAGCACACAATATACTTTCCAAACATTGTTTTATTGTCAACTAAAAAATTAATTTATAGAAAGCTATGGTAAGTTACTTAGCCAAGTATCTTTTAGAAATGCCATGTAAGAAGTTCAAAATCAGCCTGGGGAAGTAAATGTACAAGACTTTTATTTCTAGTAAGAGACCAAATAGCAAGCAATGGAGACATCATTCAAGTGGAAAAGGAACCTGGAATGAAAAATAAAGGACAGGATAGGCCCTGAGTATAAGTATGTATAAATGAATTAAATTATTATCAGAAAAAAACATGTAAAGAAGTCTTGAACATGAAGAAATGAATGCAGTTGTGTTTAAATCTCTTAAATATGTAATTCTGTAAACATAATATGGAGCCTACTAAATCAGCCTATATGAAACAGTAAGTAAAGCTTGCCATATAAAGAGGATTGAAATGGGACAACTAAAAATATTTCCCGTTGGAACAGATCGTAAATAGTGATGATATTACAAAAAATATATTTTTATAATTCAAATTTTTGGTGTCAAATTCATGTACAGTGATTAATCAATCAAAAATTTAAAAAATCTAGGCAAGAAGGAGCTTACTACTATGTATGACAGCCTTTAATCTTAAGAGAAAATTAAAAAATCTCATATATTTTAACCTTAAATCAAAGTGTATTTTTATAGCATACAAGTCATTCCTAAGCTATATGAGGGTAGCAGCATGATAGGGAAGAGGATGACAAAGAAGGATATAGAAAGGACAAAGAAAAAGAGAGACCAGGACAGAGAATAAGGTCCTACAAGAGAGATTCAGGATAATTTTAAGAGGTGAACGTGTGTGTAGAAATATACAAGTATTGAACAAAACATTTCCTAAGGACACCATTAAAAGATGTAAATTTGTGAAGAAGAGAATATTAATGAAATGGATTTGAGGAATCTCCAAAATGGTGGTGTGCAGACAGGAAGTTAATATAATGAAAAATTTAGAAGAGTTGTTGAGAAAGACAAGAGTGAAAAGACATTAAGAAGAGGGCATAATAGAATTGAGTGCAGATTGAAAAGGTGGAACCAAATATAGAAGCCAAATTCCAGATTAAATTGTGACCACCATCACTTGTGGCTACCACTGTTAGGAAAATGCACAGTAGATCCTTAGTCTTTCAAGTATACATTTCATAATATAAACTATGACAAGAAGAGACAATTACTGTAGAAGAAGAGCAGACCTTATGAATACTAATCAAAACTATGTGCTTAGTCTTAAGAATGCTTATTTCTACTCTTATGTCTTTTATCACTGAAGCCATGTAGAGAATTTCTTTTTGACATTAACAAGATGGTGTAACACTTTGGGACAAAAATGCAGCCTAAGAGTCCTGCACTAGAGGCAAAGATGGAAAAGATCTCCACAGCCACCATGGCTTTCCCCTTGGCACTGTGATAGACAGGAAGGAAAGTGAGCCACACACTGCAGAACACCAACATGCTGAAGGTCAGGAACTTGGCTTCATTGAAGGTGTCAGGCAGGTTCCTGGCCAGAAAAGCCATAGTGAAGCTGGCCAGAGCCAGAGAGCCCAGGTATCCCAGGACACAATAGAAGGCAGTGAGGGAGCCCTTGTTGCACAGGATGATGATGTGGCCAGGTTCAGAGTGTTCATCTGTGTCTACAAAGGGAGGAGAGGTTCCCAGCCAGAGTCCACAGAGGGTCACCTGGATGAGAGTGCAGATGGGAATGATGAAGTTAGGAGCCCCTGATACCAGCAGCCACCTCATCCTTCTCCCTGGGGAAGTGGCCTTGAAAGCCAGAATCACAGTCACAGTCTTGGCCAACACTGTGGAAACAGCCACAGTGAACACAACTCCAAATGTGATCTGCTGCAGGATGCAGGTGACTGTGTTGGGACGGCCAAGAAAGAGCAAGGAACAGAGGAAACAGAAGATGAGGGAGATGAGCAAGATGTAGCTGAGAGCCCTATTATTGGCCTTGACAATGGCAGCGTCATGGTGTTTCCAAAATATTCCAAGAATAATTGCAGTGAGCTTACAAAAGCATAGACCCATGACAACTAGAGCCATGCCCAAGGGATCTCCAAAAGCCAGGAAACTGGCAGCTCTCAACAAGCACTGAGTCCTCTGTGTGTTGGCATACTGATGATCTGAACATTGCAGACATTTCTCCCTATCTGGTGAGAAAAGTTTACTACCGTTACTTACTTTTAATAACCTTGTTTCCTTCAAAGAATTGAGGACACTTTTTACTAAGGTGAAGTCTTTATCTTCTTTATTTATCTTCTCTTTATTTGGGCTTTTTTCTTAAAGTTTTTTTGCTCAATGACACTCACATGTGTTGATAATATAACAGTTGAGGTATTGCAGTATCTTATTAAAATTTATACTTTTTCTCATTCTCAAGAGTACTGCATTCATATTAACCTTGGAATTATGCAGCTTACATTACCATACATTTTTCTGTAAGACATTTATTTTACTCTGTGTTATATTAACCTTGATTTGATTTCATTATGTTTCTCTTGCCTGCTCACCGGTTGTTGAAACAGATTGATCACTCTTGGACACTCTATAGTCATGCCCATTTTTTTTCTTTTCTTTTTTATTGTGAACATACTGTACAGAGGGGTTACAATTATATGGGCAAGATAATGAGTACATTTCTTATCAAGCATTGTAGCCTCCTCCTTTGTTTACCCTTCACATCCCTTCCCAGCCTCCCCGCTCCCGCCCACCTAGTCCTCCCCCCCTCCAAATTTGTAAAGTTGACGTTCAACATGACAACATGTACTTTTCATTGTTGCAACAGGACCACCTGTAGCCTTATTTATACAACTTGTTTTTCTCCTGCCCCTCACTTCTTAAAAGGTATTCTAGTTTACTGAGCCCTTGCACCTTGTCAAGAAGAGTGCTTTGCACTGAGAAATAAAGACATGTAAAATTCATGTGGGTAAAATGTAAGATTTGAGATGAACACTCTCCTTATAAGATTTATGTTTAGCTGGATGCCAGTGGTTCAGTCCTCTAATCCTATCTACTCGGGAGGCTGAGATCTGAGGATCTTGGTTCAATGCCAGCCTGGGCTGGAAAGTCCGTGAAACTCGTATGTCCAATAAACACTCAGAAACCTGGGAGTGGCACTGTTGCTCAAGTGGTAGAATGCTCACCTTGAGCTGAAGAGCTGAGGGACAGCCCTCTGGCCCAGAGTTCAAGCCTCACGACTGACAAAAAACAAAAAAAAACAATAAACCCCAAAGATTTATATTTAATTTCATGTTAGAGTTTAGACTGATCCTAAGGATTAGTTGTAAGAAGGATTCCTGGAGAAAACTTTGCCTGCAATATACTGTAAAATTTTACTAAATATGTAATTCAAAGCCATGTTCTATTTTATTTCCAGTAGAAATCCACCACTTATCAGAATTTGCTTATTAACAGAAAACAGGACAATGAGCACTGTAATCCTAATACACAGTTTTTGCATTGACTTGTTTGGATTGAGGAATACTAGGGAGAAATAAAAAAAATCTTTATAACTCATGGACTCACCTGTCCCATTAGCAATCTCATTTTCTGGGCAAGGTGTACAATCAAAGCAACAGGCAGCCTTTCCCTCCTGAGGAGATTTCCTGAATCCAGGACCACAGCTCTCACTGCAAACAGAGTGAGGAGTCTGAGGAAAGACAGGGATGTGACAGTAACTGTTCAGAACCATAGCAAACACTACAAAAATCCGTTCCCTTAAAATGGGATGTTTAAGCATAATGTTTTAAGCAAGTGAGTACAGTTTATTTATTTAATTCTGTTATACATTCCGTATTCCATGAGTCCCAAAGGCTATGTGCTTCAATCTTGATTTCTAGCCTGTTGAATTACTGGAAGGTATGGGATTTTTAAAAGGTGGAAAGTAGTGGTGAGAATGTAATTTCTAGTGTACTGCCCTATAGGATTTCCTTGAATTCATGTCAGTATATGTTGTATCCTACTCCTCTGTTATATGGGCAAGAGCAAGGAGAAGACCTCTGCTTTCTAGTGTAATATGAACATCTTATCTTTCTCTTCATTTTCCCATAGCCATGGCATTAGAATCTTGTCACAGATGCCTTCAATGATTTCTTTAATCAATGATATTTAAGTAACAGATCAATTAACGATTAAATGAATCTCCACAGAAGGGAGTAAAAGAAAACTTTCAACCACATATATTGCCTCACCACATATTTTATCAGTGTTAGAAACCCACAGACAATATTCAAAATCAACATTAAGAAGCAAATTTTACACTTTTGGTTCTCATCCTGCCACTTGAGCTTGAGGGCTAGGCACTGGAGCTGAGCTATTTTTTGCTCAGGCATAGCACTCTATTAGCCATTGCTCTACTTCCAGATTTTTGGAGATTAATTGGTGATAAGAGTCTCACAGACTTTTCTGTGTGAGTTTACTCGAATAGTCTCAACTCAGCTCTATTAGACTCTAGCATTATAAGAGGAAGTTGCTGGAACTCAGCCAGGTACGTATTTGAAGGGTGATTTTGTTGATTTGTGTGTGCTTAAAATTATTAGGATTAGATTCAACTCACCTCTGTAGTTCCGATTGCCCACTCTACCATATCTTCAGATAAAGACAGTTGATTGCCATGTGGATCATATGGAGAAAACTTTCCTACTTTCACCTTAAGTTCAAGACCCTCTGGAAAATTCCAAATGTTTAGAATATCATACTCTGGTTCCAATTTCCTTTTCTCACCCCAAATCACTTGATCTCCAGTTGGATTATAAAACTGGACATTCTTCAGAAAAGTGTGCAGCTAAAAGAAGACATCTTATGGTCAGGTATATCCCAGAGTTAAGACAGAAAACTTGAAATATTAAAAACTCCTGATTGCCTTTAACTTCTGATTCTGAATTCAGAGATTAGAGACACTAGAGACACCTATGGGAGAATAAAAAAACTTTGTGAAAAAATAACATTTTCTGATTACTCAGAAAATGAGTAGGAGGTGATTTTTTAGGAAAAAAAATCATTCTGCTACAGCTTGCCACAACCACTCTTGTGAATATCTATAGTATGAGCATGCTAAATGTTTAATATCAAAAGTTGATTAAGCTCGGTCACTTATGAAAATCATGAATAATTATTTTCAGCAACTCAGCCTTTGCTATGACTGAAGAAACTCATAGAGAAATAGCTGAATTTACAGTTTTCAAAACACTAGCTACAAGCATATCAACTTTATTGGTAACACATGAGTTCATAAGCAGGGTGCTGGTGCACCCTGCTTATGAATTTTTAATCCTAGCTAATCAGGAAGCTCAGATCAGAGGATCATGCTCCAAAGCAAGCCTGTGCAAAAAAGTCAGTGAGAATTTTGTCTCCAATTTTGTCTCAGGAAAAGCAAGTGGTAGTGCTGTGTTCTAGTGGTTGAGAAGTAGCCTTGAACACAGAATCAGAGACATGGCCCAGGCACTGTATACAAGCCCCTGCCCTGGCTAAAATTAATTTATAGAAAGATGGAATATAGGGGCTGGGAAGGTGGCTCAGTGGTAGAGTGCTTGCCTTGCATGCATGAGGCCCTGGGTTCGATTCCTCAGCATCACATAAGCAGAATAAAAGCCAGAAATATGGAATATATTTTATCTTTGCTACTGGCTGTTGTTTTCTTTAGAGCATATCAACATATGTGTACCATACTTCAAAAATATTGAAACTTGAAAAATTGCACAGGATATGAAAAGGACCTGAAGTATTTAAAGTTTTAAGTGTGGGTCTGTATTTGTTTAATTTTGTACTTCCAATAGATTCTGATAATAGACAGCAAAAGTTTAATGTTTCGTAAAACTATTTAAAATACTGAAACATATACACATTAATATCAGCAACCAAGATATGTATGACATATGAATACAAACATATAGATAGATAGATGTATGCATATACACATACCATATATATATATAGAGAGAGAAAAACACACATTCATACACACAGACATATTTTATTTCATTATAAGACACCTCTCTAGAAAGTTCCTTTGCTCACAGTGTGTGTGTACTCCAACATAGAAGAAATTACCTGCACAGAGGAAGGCAGTACTCCTTTTCTATTTCCCATTGTTTGAACTTCTGTTTGATGAAGAAGCATCTCATGGAGAGCTTGGGCCACAGTATACACAGCGTTGTATATATTGTAACTATCCACAGACATAGTCATGTCAAAAGTGCATGCAGGCAACAAATCCAAAGAGATATCATGAGCACAGTTGTCCCATGTTACACAGTCAGAGTCAACATCTGAGCAATTAAAAGAGAGAAACCACAGCCTTGCAAGAAAAATGTCTTCTGGGTAATTGGAAGGTTTAACTGTCTTGATAAAATCTGTGAATCCAGAAACATCTACATGATGATGTGTGAAAATAAAAGGTACATGCAATGAGCCTAGCATGAAGTATCTCCTTTTCAGGGTGAAATCCCACTGTGAGTTCACGATACAAACTTTACCATGCATAAATATTTGCTCAATAAATACCATTAAAGCTATCAGGGAATCATTATCACCATATATGATGAGGACACTTGCTGAAGATAGATTTATCTGGTTATAGACTGCCATGAGTTTGTATATATGTGATGCGTCTTGGGTTGAGATCATTAGCTCATAGGCTACACAAATTTTATTCTTGGCCATCTCTTCTTTCAATTCAACAAGAACCCATGCACCATTCTCATCTTGTGTAGTCAGTAGTCCCGCCCAGCTCCAGCTGAAGTGAAGCAGTAAGGAGACTATGGCAGTGGCTATTGATGTGTCCTTTGCGGCCATCTGATAGAGAGCAGGAAACTTGTTATGGTCACTCAGGGCATGATCAAAAGGCCCAAAGGTAAACTAAAGGGGAAAAGAATTGGACATGCCATGAATGAGAAGATTGCCATGCATCACAATCACAGCCTTGAATTCTGTAAAGAACTAGTTGAAATGGAAGGAAGGTTTTGTTTTAGATTTTAAAAAAATAATTTAATTGGTTTTGAATAATTGTACAACATTTCAATTGACTTTTCCATTGTGTCTTGATATTTGTCTCTATTTCCATCAACGTTTCCTATCTATATCAAATTCAGTTACTCCCACGTGCCCATTGAATATTATGTTTCCCCCCCTCATCCATTCTCTGTTCTTTTGCATTTATTCTTTCACATCTACCCTGCATTTACAAGATATGCTTTGTGTTCATTTTTTACACTGAGAGTAGATCAGAAATGTTGCACCATGGACTTGCATCCCTTTGTATACCACACTTCAGTCAAACTGAAGTGTGTGTGTGTGTGTGTGTGTGTGTGTGTGCAAATGGCTGTGTTCCATATTTATTTCATAATACATGTTCATATTTTAGATCTAACTTTCACATATGAGAGGACACATTTACACTTTCTTGTTCTGAGCTTGATTTACTTCATTCAACATAATATATTTCGTTTGCGTGTGTGTGTGTGTGTGTGTGTGTACATACTAGACAATATGGGGCACAAACTCAAGACTTATGCTGTACCAATGGAGTCGCACATTCACCTTGTATTCTTTGCAGGTTAATTGGAGATACAAATTTCCTGATTAGGTAGGATTACTGGTGTGAGCTATCAGTACCCTGCTCAGCATATCCTTACATTGTAAAGCCCTTTTCCATTTCCTGGTTCATTAAAGAAAATTTTTGATAAGGCTTGAAAAAATAAATTATCTAATTATCTGCTCAAATCTTCCATCACTTTTTCCAAACTATAAAAATATATTCCCAACTAATTTTGAGTAGTTACTCCATACCACAAAATTTGATTGGTTCATAAGTAGAATCTCTTCCTATCCTTCTCTTCTAACATCTGAACTGCCACCAAATTAGATGTTTTTCTAAACTTCCACACCTTTCACCCTCACCTGTGGAAATCTGTAGAGTCCTAGCAATGTCCCAATCTGGTCAGATGTTATTCCTGATGGTCCTGTAATTACTGCTATAGACTTGCTGACTCTCATACAGGAGTAGTTTGGAATCTTATACTTCCCAAAAAGAAAAATGAAGGGATTCTTAAACATTGTCCAAGCTCTGAAGTGAACATCATAGATATCAAATCCCAAAGTTAAATTATGTAAAAGATCAGGGTTTTTGTTTATTTCCTCAATAGCAAAAGTCAAGGCCAAAACACACTGATAGTTCTTGAAGATAAACCTGCATAATGAGCAAAGAAATTGAAGAGGAGTATTTCAAAGCTTAAGACTTTGATACATTAAATGCTTGCTTCTTAGCCAATGTATATGTTAAAATATTGCTCCAATTAGAATGGAATGTAAATGTGGTCTCTTATGCTTCCATATAGAACTAGGTACGGACACAAAGGGAATTTGTCATGAATGAGATTCAGATACTTATTTAAGTCCAGGGAGAGCTTGTTTTTTTCTATTGCCACATGAATCACAGCCGAACCATCACCACCCTTGGTCTTATTCCCCTGGATCCCTCTAGCAAAACCTTGTAATTTCTTGTAACAGTCATTAGCTAAACCAACACCCAGCCACCGCCTTTCCCCATCCTAGCCAAAAATGCTTAAAAACCAATGTGGACTGGCATGCGGGTCCATTTCCTGGGATTCTGGTCCTGGCCCATAAGCACTTTTCACTCAATAAAATCATTTACATTTTCACTGTGGACTGAGTAGTCTCACTGCATATCCACACTACAATGGGACCCATATCCCATAGGTGTGCACCCACATGCATAATAGCTAATGTCTTAGTAGAATTCATATGTCAATAGAACATGGCAAGGGACGTTTAGAGATCTGAAGATAAAAAATCTAAATTATCCACCCAGAGTATTATACCTAGCAAAGCTATCCTGTAGAAATGAAGGAAGGACAAAGATTTTCCCAGAGAAGAAGAGTAAAGGGATTGTATCTCCACTAGACTCTTCCTATATTAAATACTAAAGTAAGTTTTTCAGGCCACAAAACAGAATCATTAATGAACAAGAAAAATACACAAGAATGTATACCCTGTATCCTGTGAACACAATGAAAGTTGGGCACAACAGAAAATGAAATCACAGAAAATACTGAAACTCATAGAAACTGAGCAATTCATTGCTGAGTTTCAGGAATTCTTTTAAGAGAGAGAAAAGATTTAAGCCTTTCTCTTTTGTATATATGTTTTATTGTAAAGATAGTGTATGGAGGGGTTACAGTTACATGAGTAAAGTAGTGAGTACATTTCCTATGGAGCATTGTTACCTCCTCCTTTGATTTTCCCCTACCATCTCTTCTGTCCCTGCCCTCAACTCCTCCCTGCACCCCTGAAGTTGTAAAGTTCGTTTTCAACACAGTGTCTTGTACATCTCATTGTTACAATGGGTTAACCTGTATCCTTATTTCATCATTTTGTTATTTCACTTCCCCTCAACAGATTAGAGAACTGTATATACAAGTTGCAGGGCACCAGAATCAAATACAGTAAAAACAGGGATTATACCATGGGGGAAGAACATACGAAAACAATTCACATGGTATATTATGAATACATTAGAAACAACAGCAAGAAAGATAAAACACATAAAATATCAACTCCATTGCCCCACAACAAAGGCAGTTCTCAGAGTACAGTCCGTGATTGTAAGTGTTTGCATCAACCATTTAGAAAACTCTGTCAATACATTAATGATATACCTCATAGGCAGAACTGCTATGGAAAGATAGTGGCATCATCACATGTAAATTCCTTAGATGTGTCTGAAAAACAGCTATTTAGATTCCCTGCATCCATTTCACCTCAAGAGATCCACACCAATCAAACTTTAAACAGATAGAGACTCATTCAAATACAGAAGATATCTCACAACAGAAACACAGGAGCAGAAGATAGCAACACAGCATCCAGACCCCTGCTGAATGGCTGCAGCCTAGGCATTTTTCCTTCCCAGGAAGACCAGGGAGACCCAGAAGGATATGCCTGAAGTGCCTCCAGTCTAACATTAAACAGAGAACAATGAGATGTACAAGATGCTATCCTGAAAAATGAACTTTAAAATTTAGGCGGGGGATAGGGGATAGTGTAGTTGTGGAGATGGTAGGGAATGGATGGCAGGGAAAAAACAAAGAAGGAGGCAACAATGTTTGATATTTTATTGCTCATGTTATCTTAACACCTCTGTAAAGTATTTTCACAATAAAAAACTTACTTAAAAATATATATGAAATGTACATTAAGCATACTTGAAAAAGGCACAGTGGTAAGGCTAGAAATTAACAAGGAAAACAACAAAAAATATTCCCAAAACATTCAAATGAAATGAATTTCTTTTCAATCAGAAATAAAGTCTTTCATTAAAATTTAATTTAAAAATATTCAATTTAATTAAATGATTGATACATGATTAAAAGACTTGTTTTTTGTTTGTTTTCTAATGAGAAAATGCTGTACAGAGGAGTTACAGTTACATGCACAAGGTAATGAGTACATTTTCCATTGAGCATTGGTGCCTCCTCCATTGTTTTCCCTCCCACCACCACAACTAATCCCCCACCCCATGCCCTGGAGAGTTGTAAGATTCATTTTCAACATAGTGTCTTGAACATCTCATTGTTACAATGGGTCAGCTTGTATCATTATTTAAGCATTTTGTTTTTTCCATTCTCCTCCACAAGATGCAGGGCACCACCATCAAATACAGTGAAAACAGTTGTTATACTATGGGGAAGGAACATAGAAAGCAAAAACAAAAAAATCACATGGTACATTATAAACATGTTAGAATCAATAGCAAGAAAGAAAAAAGATATTTGTGTCCCTATCTTGGGGTTCATTTTGCTTAACATCATCTTATATGGTCATGTGTACATATCTTTGGCCATTTTCTGCTTGTCCTACACATGTACTAGTTATTGGAAATAAGGGAAACCATAGGATCTATGTTTCTTTGGGCCTGGCTTACTTCACATAATATAATTTTTCCAATTCTTTCTATTTCCTAACAAATGGTGCAATGTCATTCTTTCTGATGGAGGCATATATATAAATACATATATATATATATATATATATATATCACATTTTCTTGATTCATTCATCTACTAAGGAGCATATGTTAGCTATGGTAAATAATGCTGCAATGAACATAGTTGTGCTGGTAGCCTTAGTATGGCCTTGATTGTGATCTTCTGGGTAAATGCCCAAAAGTGAGATTGCTGGGTCATGGAGGAACTCTATGTGGTGTCTTATGAGAAACCTCCATAATACTTTCCAAAGTGGTTGAACAACTTTACACTCCCACCAACAATACAGTAGAGTTCCCTTCTGGCCACATTTTCTCCAGCATCTGTTGTTATTAGAGTTCTTGAACTGGGGTGAAGTGGTATCTCCATGTTGTTTAGATTTGCATTTCTTTTATGGCTAAAGAGCTTGAGCATTTCTTCATGTGTCTATTGGCCATCCTTCTTTCATCTTCAGAGGAGATTCTCTTTAAGTGTTTAGCCCAGTTATTTATGGGGCAGTTGTTTCTTTGAGGATTTGTTTTTGGGGGATTGAATTTCTTAAGTTCCACATATATTTTAGATATGAGACCCTTGTCCGTTGTATGGCTAGTGAAGATCTTCTCCCAATCCATGAGCTTTCTATTGATATTGCTAGCTATGTCCCTTGCCATGCAGAAGCTCTGCAGCTTCGTGTAATCCCATTTGTCCAACCTTCTTTGATGTGTTTTGTTTCTGGGTCTCTATCATGAAAAATTCGGCCTGTGCCAAAGAGACCTAGGGTTTCTCCTATTCCATCGTGTAATGTTTTCAAGGTGTCTGCTTTGAATCTGATCCTCAAAAATCAATGGCTTTTCTGTATGTCAACAATGAGAAGAGGGTGGCTGAAATCAGACAAGCAACTCCATTTGTAATAGCCCCTTTAAAAGTAAAATACTTTATTAAAGAAGTGAAGGACCTATATGATGATAACTTTAAAAAACTGAAAAAGGAAATCAAATCAGAACATAGAAATTGGAAAAAGCTTCCATGTTCCTGGATTGGAACGATCAACATCGTGAAAATGGCAATACTTCCCAAGGCTATCTACATGTTCAATGTGATACCAATCAACATTCCAACCTCATTCTTCAATGAAATAGAAGAAGCAATCCAAAAATTCATATGGAACAACAAAAGACCTCAATTAGCAAAAACGATCCTTAACAGAAAGAACAGTGCTGGAGGAAGATCAATACCAAATTTCAAGCTACTACAAAGCCACAGTAATCCAAACAGCTAGGTATTGGCACAAGAACAGACCTGAGGACCAGTAGAATAGAACTGAACATCCAGAAATGAACCCACAGACCTATTGCCATCTAAAATTTGATAAGGGTGTTAAAAAATGGAATGGAAGAAAGACAGCCTCTTCAGTAAATGGTGCTAGAAAAAGTGGTTAATCACCTGTAGAAAAATAAAGCTAGATCCTTATATATCATCCTGCAACAGAATCAACTCCAAATGAATCAATAACTTGTTTTTCATGGCAAAATTCTAGAAGTTTACCAATCTTTGGAACAAATATAAATGAAAACCGATTATCAGAATCGATAGATATAGAAAAAGAACAATGAAATGAAACTGTAACAATTTTGCTGAAATCAGGCATAGAGAAGTTGTACTAAAGAACCTATGCTGCATCTCAAGCAACTGGAAAAAAAACCCAAAATTGGTAGAAGGAATGAAGTAATCAAAAAGAAGAAAAAGTAGAGACTGAAACAAAATGCCAATAATCAAGAAAGCAAAAAGGACATTCTACAAGAACAACAGGGTGATAAAACTGAAGTAAAAATCATGAACCTTAAAATAGATTAGACATAAAATTCTACATATGAACCCACATCTCCCATTATTCTACATGACAGAATCAGTAGAATATAAATAGCTGTATTATTGAAAAACCATCTATAGAAGATTCAGTAAGTCTATATGAAAACTTCTATCACGTCCTTCAAAGAAAAAAAGGCAAAACTTAATTTTATGAACAAGGAAACCTTCCATTAGCCAGAGCTATTTTAAGACACAATAACTACAGGAAAGCATCCCTGTACCAGTTCTTTACTTGTAATAGCAGAAAACATTCTGATAAAAAGGACACATGGGTCAAAGAAATAGAAGACCATAAGGTTATTCTAACAATAGACATGATTCTTGGTGGTTTTCAAAT